CCTATCTATGCCGGATCGAGCCGTCCGGGCGCAGGCAGGGCTGCCCGCCGAGTGTCGGGCCGGACGAAAGGGGGGTTCTTAAACCCCCCCTTTGCTATCCCCCCCTTCCGCCCGGCCCGATAGTGGCGTTTGTGCAGCAGGGCCTGGGACCACCAGGCGCCATGCAGGAACCGAAGGGAGGGCACGCTGGGGCCTGTCGGCCCAGACCGAGGCCTTCCTGGAAGAGGCGGCCGTGCGCGGCCTAGAAAAAGCGGGGAGCACCCATGGGGGAGGAGATCGCTTCCGGCGCTCGCCTGTCAGAAGCGCGGCTCGCTGCCGCCCCCTCTTTCCTCCCTGACGCAGGCTGGCCCCAGTCGAAGCATGTCAATCTCGCGCCCCGGGGTCCGATAGAGCACCGCCTGCGCGGACAGCGGCGTCCAGCCACTCCCCTGGAGCGCGGGGGCGAACGCACTCCGCCGGCGCGGCCGCTCCTGCCCGCCGCTTCGAGGAGGCCCCGCGCCGAGTCTTGGGCTGCAGCCCGCACCCTGCTCAGGATGTCGGGCCTGGGCCCCCACCCTCCCCCCCAGACCGCCGGGGGCCCGCCGGTGCGCCCCCCCTCGGGCACGCCGGGGGCCCGCCGGGGGCCCGCCGGTGCGCCGCGAGGCCCGCGGCCATCGCCCGCGGGTCCCCCCCGGCGCCATCCTTGAACGAGTGCCGTGCGGAACCCCACGGGAGCCCCTCTCGGGGGCCCCCCGAAGACCTGCACGCCTGGGCCCCCGTGCGGTTGAGCTCCCTCCGTCGGCGGAACCGTTGCGGCGCGTGCGCCCCGTAAATTGGCGACGGCGCAGGGGGCCCGCCCCTGCGAGTCCACTGCGCCTCGGCCCCGGCGTCTCGAGGCCTCCGCGCCGAAGGGCGCGACTTCATCCGTCGAGCTCTCGTGATGCCGGCCTTCCCGAGGTTCGCGTCGGCCCCCGGTTTCTGGGCCGCGTCGACCTCGCTGGAGGGGGGGGGGCCCAGCGGTCCATCGCGAAGGCTGCGAGCTCCGAGGAATTGGCCAGGTACTTGCATTTCTTGCAGTGCACAGGGCGCTCCAGCTCGCGAAAGGATTGGAACAGGCTCTCGACCGCCGACGGCAGCTGGTCCACGACCACGGAGCACGGGCCGAAGGCCTGCAAGGAGACATCGTCGACGACGTTCCTAATCTGCAACTGCGGCCTGCCAGAGACGGCCTTCGTCAACGGTGCCAGGAGGAGCAACTAAGCCAGAGTCGTGGCCGCCGCACACCCAGCAATGATCGCCCCAGACGCCTGGGCAGCTCGAGACAGCCCCATCATGCAATAGAGTCGTGATCCCCGAGTGCACCGTGACCAGCCCACGGAGGAGCTTCAGGTTGAAATCGAACTGACGAGCTGCCTCGAACAGGTCACGATGCCGCTCGTGCTCATGGAACGTCTTTAAGTTCAGCAAGACGGTTGCACCGCTCGTGCCCATCGCGCGACAGGAGGCCGACATCAGGCTGTGAATCCACCCGGTCTTCTCGCGCGCGGTGTGGCGGTGGGGCCATTGCCCCCCAAACAACTCCATGCGGTGGGCGACCTCCCACTCTCTGCGCGAGGGCTGACGCGGCTTACTCCATGGCCTGGTGAACTGGCTTAGCAGCCCAATCGGCCGAACCCCACCTTCTGGTTTCTGGAGTAACGCGATATTCGCGAGAAGGTCCCTGAACCGACCTGGGCTGTCCTCGAAGCCCTGGAGGATCGACGGGAGCCTCACCTGGCAGTCCAAGGGGAGCCGGAGGACCCGCTTCGGTTCGAACTGATCCCAGCCGAGCCCTGCACCTTCAGAGTATGGCCTACAGACATCTTGAAGGGCCTCCAGAGTCAACGGGGGCAGGGTCGCCCCTCCGATGCCCCGCTGGCTGGGGTCAACTCTTTCTCGGCCATCGGGGGCCCGCGTAGGAAGCCATTCATCCAAGAGCTGCGTCGCGGCCTGGTCGCCGTTGACTGGGAGCCCTCCAGGCTCCTCCAAGTGGGAACTGGCCCTGGCGGCCCTTCTTGGCGTGAGCGTGAGCCATCCTCCCCCCAGTCTCCACCGGCTCCTTGACCCAAGTCCTCCATTTCCGTCCCCGCTCTTTGGCGTCGACGCGCTGGGGGTATTCGCAGTGCTCCCCCAGCTGGCTGAAGGTCGCATCGCTCTGGTCGGCCGTGCCCGAGCCTACGCAGAGAAAAAGAACTCGCGAAGGACCGCTTCTGGAGGCCCCGCGGGGGACGCTCTCTCGCTGACGTCCTCTGGCGTGGGCTCCGCGGCGACCGCGGGCTGCCGGCATGCCGGCCAAGGTGAGGGACCACTGGCCGAGCGCGTCCCTGCCGCGCCGACCTAGAGAACAGGGCGCCACCTGGATCGCGCGACAGGTTCAGCTCCTGCGGGCCAACCAAGCCACCGTTGTCGGGCTAAACCTTCGACGGGCCTCGCGATCCCACAGGGCCCGCAGGGGCGCTCTAGTCGTCTGCGGGCCCGCGGCCCTCCCCACGTTCTGGTCCCTTGCGCTGTCGGGGGTATCTTGCATAACTCCTAGACAGGCCTCCGAGTTGCTAAACCATTCCGTCACGCTCGATGCCGCATCGATCGGGGCATGCGAGGGGTCGTGAAGCCATGAACCTTCAGGAGCCTCTAGGTGGGGGCCACAGCAGGGGACCGCGGGGAACTTCTTGAAAGCCTTAGGCTTGGATGAGCTGGCCGTCCCGACACGTCAGGTGGAGCGAGCGACGACGGGAACGTGCGATGACGTCATGGCCGAGCTAAGCGCCGCGACAGACTGCAGGCAGTGGCGCAACACCTTCGCACCACCAAAAGTCGATCTCACTCTTCACCGTGACCCACTTGGAAACTTCTTCCGAATCCTCCTCTTTGTGCCTGGTGAAACACGTGGGCGAGTCGGCCTGGATGGCGCCAACGCACAAATCGAGCCAGCCGTGTCCACCAGTTCCGATGGGGAGCAGTTCCAATCACCTTGGATGATCCACGGGGCGTCTTAGGAAGGCAAGAACACGGCCAGGCCCTTCAACAACTTCCAGTTGTTGGGCCCCTTCGGGCGCTCTTTGACTGACAGGTGCAACGAAACCACCAGGACCCCCGACGGGAAACCCATGTTCACGTGGCGGATTACACACCGATGTCGAAACAGGTCGAGGGAGTCGGGCAGGGCGACGGATTTCGACGGCAAGTGCTTCTGGATCCCGATACACACACACACACACCTCCCGAGCTCTCCAGGGGGCCCTTCCCGGTAGACGCAGCACGCCCGAACGAGGCATGCACATCACGACCGTCAGCCAAGCCGAGAGCCTGCTCCTCTACATGTGGTGCCTTGATGCGGGTCTCCTGAACCGTCGGCACCTGTGGAAAACGCGTGTCGCATTCAAAGGGTCCTCTCATGGCCTGCATGCCTGCATCACGAAGCCAATCGACAATGCCTTCAACCAAGTTCCACGAATTGGCATTGATCCCGAGCGCGATCAGATCCTGGCGAAGTCCGTGGCAACTGTGAGCAGGTGTTGCGCTCGAGGAGCACGCAGCACCTTGCCGCTCTGACTCTGGCAAAACATGGCCAGGTGCTGCGCTCGAGGAGCACGCAACCCCCTGTCGGTTTGACTTCGGAAAAACGTAGACATAACTCCCATCCAGCAGGGTGCGATCTGACGCCTCTCGGCAAAATCGTGGCGACGCTGAGCAGGTGGGGAGCGCTCCAGGCTAACCCCTTGGATCGCGCTCGAGGAGCACGACCCCCTGCCGTTCTGACCTCGGCAAAACGTGGACCGAACTCCCAGCCGACTGACACTGACGCACACGCGGATGCCGAGCCAGTCAACGAAGCCGTCTTCAGTGACATTTGTGATTCCGCCGCCGCCAAGCAGCCCGCAGACGCCGAACATCTTCTCCTTCCACCAGGAGACGACGTCCGAGGAGGAGGAGGAGGAGGAGGAGGAGGAGGAAGAAGAATAAGCATGAGACTAATAATAATAGTGAGTGTGAGTATAATAATAAGAGTGATGATGATGATAATAATACTACTAACAATAACAACATCAATACGACGAATACGAATAAGAATGAGAGTAATAAGAATAATACCATGAATAAGACGAATAATTGTAATACTAAGAAGAAGAGGAGTAGGAGGTGGAGGAGGAGGCGGAGGAGGAGGAGGAGGAGGAGGACGATGAGCGCGCGAAGCCCACTTAAGGGCCCAAGCCCGGCCCCAGCGCCGCCGCCGCCAGAGAAGGGCGCCGAGGCCTACACCCGTCCGCTCCCCCCGCGCCGGGCCCATCCTTTTTTGGCCCAGGGGCGGTCTGCACACGCCGTTCTGTCCTCACCAGGTCATTCCTCATTCCGTTTCCTTCGGTTCGACTCGATTTCGAAGATTGCCGATTCCGATGCGAGTCGGCTTCGGACTCCGATGTGGGCTCCGATTTTTATTGGAGGCCTACCGGCGTGCCGATCTCCGCCGATTAGACCTTTCTGCCGACCGGGCTGCCAATTTCCACCAATCCGATTCATTTCGATCGCCAATCCGACTTTTCGGTGCGATTCTGGGCTCTCCTGCCAGGGAGGCATATACCTAGATATTCTCTGTTTCGTCTGCGCTTTCAATCCTCACCCCCAGAAGTCCCGACCCCTCCTCCCGGGGCAGTTTTACGTCCTGGACCCATGCTGAATGGTCCCAGAGCTCAATTCATGGGCGCCAGAGGCCGAAGTCTACGAAACACGCCCAGATCGAACAACTCATACCGTTGGAAAGCTGGGTACACCGCGTCTGGATCCAGAGTCTTTACCAGCCCACAACAGATGTCCATCCCCGTGGTTGCCATCACCGCACCTCGGTGCCGATCTTCAGGATTCCCTGAGTTTCTCGGGGCGCCTCGCTAAGATTGTCATCGCCCTGGGCTTGCCAATCTTTGGGGTATGGATCAGGCTGAGGCTGGTGACGAGTGGGCCCGGCCAGGGGCAGCAGATGTGTACAGAGCTCGTCGCTGGACGGAGCCCTGCCGCGGGCAGCCGTCGAAGACCCCGCGCCTGCCGCGCACGGTGGAGGGGGGTGGGGCCTGGCCGCCCCGTCGCGGCGGCCCGCCGCTCCAGGGATGATGGAGATGGCGCGCGCTGGGCCTTGAATCCTCCTCCTCCTCCTCCTCCTCCTCCTCCTCCTCCTCCTCCTCCTCCTCCTCCTCCTCCTCCTCCTCCTCCTCCTCCTCCTCCTCCTCCTCCTCCTCCTCCTCCTCCTCCTCCTCCTCCTCCTCCTCCTCCTCCTCCTCCTCCTCCTCCTCCCTCCTCCTCCTCCTCCTCCTCCTCCTCCTCCTCCTCCTCCTCCTCTCCTCCTCCTCCTCCTCCTCCTCCCCCCCCTCCTCCTCCTCCTCCTCCTCCTCCTCCTCCTCCTCCTCTCCTCCTCCTCCTCCTCCTCTCCTTCCTGCTCCTCCTCCTCCTCCTCCTCCTCCTCCTCCTCCTCCTCCTCCTCCTCCTCCTCCTCCTCTTTCTAGTCCCCTCCTCTTCCTCCAGGGGTCCCGAATCGCTTCCGGTTGCGCCCAGGCAGCCCCCACCCCTCCGAGGTAGTCCTGGCCGGCCTCAAGAAGCCCCCCGAGTGGTCCAGAGCGGTCTCAACACTCTGACGCCGCCTCTGGCGGCGCCCCTGGGGCGCGGAGCGCCCCAGGGTTGAGGTGTTGAGACCGCCCTGGACGACTGAGAGTGCCTGTTGAGGCCAGCTGAGACTGCTCGGGGGGCCTGTGGAGGCCAGCCAGGACGGTCTGGAGGGGCTGTCTGGGCGCACCCCGAAGCCTTACCTGGGGGGTGTTTAGCCCACGGTTCGCCGCACTGACCCCGGGTGCGCGGCGGGACGTTTTCGGGATGTTCGTTCGTGCTTCCTGCCCTGGGTGCGTTCCAGCAGCTGCGCCTCGCCGAGAGCGTTCGGGGGGGTCCCCAAATTGTCTCGAGTGGCCGGCTGAGGCTCGAGTCATGGCCTGAAGCCGAGTGACCCTTCGCCGGAGTGATTTCGGGTGGGCGCGGCTTTCGGGGGCGTGGGGAGGCAAGCCCACAACCACTCGCGCGGATCGCTGCTGCCGCGGCGCACGCAGCGATCGGCCAGCCGCGCACCAAAACATCACTCTCACCGCAGGCCCATGGCCATTCCTGCGCGTGGCGACGGCAAGCACTCCTTCCAGGCAGGGCCTGTGTCAGAGGATGGCCGCTGGGACATCGGAGGCCATCCTCCTCCTCCTCCTTCTCCTCCTCCTCCTCCTCCTCCTCCTCCTCCTCGCTCCCCCTCCACTTCCGGGGGAGTGGCCTCCGAGGTCTCAGCTGGTCCTCCTCCGATCGGGGGGCGCGCGCAGAGAGCGCCCCGAGGCGGCCCCCGCACGCCCCGACGTGCCTCCCCTGGCAGTCCAGGGCGCAGGGCGGGGTCGACCCTGCTTCGGAGGTGGACAGACACCCCAACAGCGACACGTCGATTAGTGAATTGTCCGTTTTCGGTTCTCGAGGGGGCGCCGTGGCCGTCATTTTCCAGGCTTGCGCCCGCCAGGTTTGGGCCTCAGGTCGTTTTCACTAAACCACGTTTTACTAAAGGGGGGTCTGTCCAACCCCGACTGCTCAGGGGCACCGACCTGGGGGGGGGGCCAGCCCAGGGCGGGAGACAATCGGGAGGGGACAGGAGCACACGGACACGCCTCATCGTCGATCCCCAGGGAACTATGGCTACGTCGGGCCTGTCCCTCTACAGAGGGGGAACATTCAAACATAGTTTCAAAGAAAAGAGTCAGGGGGAGATTTTTTTAGCATGCTTTCACCACCAGGGGAGATGTTTGGGGTATTTTAAGTTTTCGTCCACAATCCCCCCTGTACAGTGCCGTTTTTAATGCATGCTCGGCATGCGGATCATGTATTAAACATGCAGGGATTTAGTATTAAACACAACGATGAGTTCATGCATATGTTTATTCATGAATTAATCATCTATGAAACACCTATAGTTTAAAACATCCTATGTATTAAACGCTGCCCTGTACGGGCAGCGGGGGGAGCAGAGCGCAGCGGCACGCACGCGCGGCCAGCGGGCCCCGAGGCCCAGCGCGCCCGGGGGGAAGGCGCCCCGGGGCCGCAGCCCCGCAGACGTTTCAGGAGGTTAAAAAACACACAGACACAACGAATCGCCGATTCCCCAGGAAGTATGGGAAGATATGGGAAGTGGGGGGGGGAAGACAGAAACTCAGAACACATGGGAGAAAATGGGGAATCCTGCTTTTTGCGTGTTTGTGTGTGTGTGTGTGTGTGTGTGTGTGTGTGTGTGTGTGTGTGTGTGTGTCCCAGGGCCCCTTCAGACAACTCAGGAAACATGGGAGCACATGTCAGGCGATCGCAGCCATGGATCAGGAGGGCGTGGATTAGCGCTGACGGGTCCCGTGTCCGTGGGAAGACGCGGACTTCGGCCGCCGAGCGAGGCGGCCCAGGCCGCATTCTGGGGAGGGCACCTCTCCCCATCCATGGATTTGGCGACCGCGCACCAAATCCATGGATCGCTAATCCAGGTTTGCGCGCCCCCGAATATTGGGAATCCTTGGATTCGTGTTCACTCATTTGTGCGTCCCAGGGCCCCTTGGGACAACGATCCCCAATCGCCCATCCATCGCCATACTCGGGGCCTGGTTGCCACCTCCCGCCCATGAGCGCGTGGGGGCTGGGCCTTCGAGGGCCTGTCCGCCAATCGATCGACGACGCATCGCCGATTCCGAGTCAATTCAGGAGGGGGAAACAGACAGACACAGTGAATCGTCGATCCCCAGGAACACAGATGGGACAGCATGGGACGTGGGGGGGAAGACGAACATCCAGGAACTGCGAGACAATGAGGGGGATCCTGGGGTTTGTGTCTACTTCTTTTTGTGTCCCAGGGGCCCCCTCGTCAATGTCCCCTCCTCCCGAGCCCCCTTGGCGTGCCCCCTGCACCTGTGCGCCGCCTCTGGCGGCGCCCGGCGCCCAGCGGGCGCTGCGCGCCTAGGGGCAGAGGTGCTGAGACCGCCCTGGGCACCTCCCTCCCCTCCCCATCCCCCCTCCCCTCCCCTCCCTCCCCCCTCCCCCCCTCCTCCCTCCCCCTCCCTCCCTCCCTCCCCCCCTCCCTCCCCCCTCCCCCCCTCACTCGGGGGTTGTCCGTGGAGGCCAGCCGGGGCTGCCTCGGGGGGTGTACGTCTGTGCGCAGATCCTCGAGGGAGAAAGCTCGTCTCGAAGAAGAGACATCACGTAATCGTCAATTTGTTTTCTCGTAATTTCTTGATTTTCGTCTTACCCCCCACCTATACGACCACCCTGCGGGTGATAAGGAGGTCGGGGGGGGAGGGGGCCAGCAATGGGCAACAGTGGTGATTGTTGTTCTGACGATGCCAGTGGAGATTGTTGTTCTGCACGAGAACTCATTAGCCGGCAATCCGGCACTAGATCTCATCGATCTAATCATCGATATCATTATCGATATTACTATCGATCTCTGCACGTGAAACCACGGGACACCGACGGGACACCGATGGGACACCGACGGGACACAATCGATCTCACTGTCGATCTCACTATCCATCCCACTATCGATCCCACTATCGATCTCGCTATCGATCTCACTATCGATCTCGCTTTCGATCTCACTATTCATGTCACTACCGATTCCACTATCGATCTCGCTATCGATCCCACTCGATCGATCTCACTATCGATCTCACTATCGATCTCACTATCGATATCACGATCGATCTCACTATAGATCTCACTATCGATCTCTCACTATAGATCTCACTATCGATCTCACTATCGGTCTCATTATCGATCTCACTATCGATCTCACTATCGATCTCACCACGGGACAACGACGGGACACCGGCGGGACACCAGCGGGACACCAGCGGGACACTGGCGGGACACCGCGCGCCACCGGTTGCCGGGCGGAGAACCTTTTGGTCCGGCCGCGGCCCAGCCACGACGAGACACCGGCGGGACACCAGCGGGACACCAGCGGGACACCGGCGGGACACCGCGCGCCACCGGTTGCCGGGCGGAGAACCTTTTGGTCCAGCCGCGGCCCAGCCACGACGAGACACCGGCGGGACACCAGTGGGACACCAGCGGGACACCGGCGGGACACCGCGCGCCACCGGTTGCCGGGCGGAGAACCTTTTGGTCCAGCCGTGGCCACAGGATAATTTCCTCTCCCCCGCCCACGCAGCTTCGCCTCGCCCGCACGCACGGCACGAACACGAAACCGAAATCGATTTCCCGGTAGGGGGGCTTTCCGTTCCACTTCGATCTCACCCCCCAACCTCCGACTTCCCATATCTTCCCATCTTCTCAGGAAGTCGACATTTAATTGTGTCTGTGTGGTTTTTCCCCTCCTGACCAACATTGGAGGAAGGAAAAAACTAACAAACAGAAACTTTCAACGCTCCACGCGGATTTCTTGGACCTGTACTGGGGCCCCTCGGCGGCGCCTCCGCCGCCGACCCTGGCGCGCTCCGCGCGCCAGGGAGGGGGACCCAGCGCAGATCCAAGAAGTCCGCGCGGACCGTCGACGGTTTCTGTTCGTGTGTTTTTCCCAACCATCCTGTTGTGTTGGGTCCTCGTTTTGAAGAGACGGTGCCCGGCGTCCCTCCTCCTTCCTTCCTTCCTTCCTCCTCCCCCTCCTCCCTCCTCCCCCTCCTTGCCTCTGCTCTCGGCACACCTCTCACACGTTTCGTAGCCCCATGGGGAGCTCCACCGAAGGCCCCAGTGGGGGTGTCCGCATGCGGTTCCCCCACCCAGGGCAGCGTTTCGTGGCCCCATAGGGAGCTCCACCGAAGGCCCCGGTGGGGGTGTTCGCATGCGTCTCCCCTACCCAGAGGTAGCGCCACCGAAAACGATATTCATATTTGCGGTATTCACAACTGCATATTGTTGGGTCCTTCGCCAGGCTAATTTCTTTCCTCTAGCGTTGGTCGGGAGGGGAAAAATCACAGACACAATCAAGTGTCAACTGCAAGAGAAGATGGGAAGATATTGGAAGCGGGGGGGAAGACTAAAATCAAGAAAATACAAGGAACTCTGGGGAATCCTGGGATTTGTGTGTGTTTATTTGTGCTTTCCTGGGCCCCTTCAGTTGGCCATGACCAGGATGTCGCAGGATCTTGCCCTCTCCGATCCTGGGCATGGTGCATGCCTGCCGTCGCCGCTTTTCGAGGACGATCCAAGCTTGGACGCTGGACGGTGACCAAGATCGACACGACGTTTTCGCGTGCAGTCTTCGTGAGTCATGGTCTCCGCTTGCTTCTCCTCCAGCTCCAAGCCTTATCGCGCCGGGCCCCGAAGTAGTCATAGTCGGGGAGGGCCATTAGGGAGCTCCACCGAAGCCCCCAGTGGGACCGCCCGCATGCGTCCGCCACCACCCAACACGGCCCTTGCTCCCTGCGTTCCACCCACCCAGTGTACAGGGTTTCGTGGCCCCATATGGGAGCTCCACCGAAGGTCCCAGTGGCACCGCCCGCATGCGTCCGCCACCACCCAACACGGCCCTTGCTCCCTGCGTTTCGCCCGTCCAGTACAGCGTTTCGTGGCCCCATAGGGAGCTCCACGGGAGCTCCACCGAAGGTCCCAGTGGCACCGCCCGCATGCGTCCGCCACCACCCAACACGGCCCTTGCTCCCTGCGTATCACCCACCCAGTACAGCGTTTCGTGGCCCCATAGGGGGCTCCACCGAAGGTTCCAGTGGTACCGCCCGCATGCGTCCGCCACCACCCAGCACAGCCCTCTTGCTCCCTGCGTTTCACCCACCCAATACAGCGTTTCGTGGCCCCATAGGGAGCTCCACCGAAGGGCCCAGTGGCACCGCCCGCATGCGTCCGCCACCACCCAGTACAGCGATTGCTCCCTGCGTTTCGCCCGTCCAGTCCAGGGCTTCGTGGCCCCATAGGGGGCTCCACCGAAGGTCCCAGTGGCACCGCCCGCATGCGTCCGCCACCACCCAGCACAGCCCGTGCTCCCTGCGTTCCACTCACCCAGTACAGGGTTTCGTGGCCCCATAAAGGGGGCTCCACTGAAGGTCCCAGTGGCACCGCCCGCATGCGTCCGCCACCACCCAGCACAGCCCGTGCTCCCTGCGTTCCACCCACCCAGTACAGGGTTTCGTGGCCCCATAAAGGGGGCTCCACTGAAGGTCCCAGTGGCACCGCCCGCATGCGTCCGCCACCACCCAGCACAGCCCTTGCTCCCTGCGTATCACCCACCCAGCACAGCGCTTCGTGGCCCCATAGGGAACGCCACCGAAGAAGATATTCACAATTGCAGTACTCACAACCGCATATGGTTGGGTCCGTCGCCATGCTGATTAATTTTTTATGTGTAGATTCGTGTGGGGAGTTGCCCAGGGTCGGCTTCGGAGAGGATGGGGGGGTCCTGCGACTCGTCCCCCGAAGGTTGGGAAACACGGCAGCCCTCGCGGAGCGCCCATTTTCAGAGGGCCTATGGCTTTGCCATCATTCGCGAGGCGCCTGCAAGGCGTGCCTCTTGGGGTCTATGGGTTCCATCCCCATCATTCCCATTTCAGAGGCTCTGTGGGTTTCCCACCATGCCCATATTCAGAGGGTCTCTGGGTTCGGTTTCCCATCGTTCGCCCCCCTCCCCTCCCCGACCCGCAAGGCGCGCCTGCCGCACCGCGACGAGCCCCGCGCGCGGCTCGGGGAGCCCCTGGCCATGCCGCCGCCGCGGGCGCAGATGGAGCGGCCCGCCGGCGGGGCGGGCAGCGTCCCCGCGGCCGGGGCCGTGTGCGTCTCCGGGGAGCGGCGGGCGGGGAGCCGCGGGGCCTGCGGCCGGTTTGGGGCTTCCCGGGGCCCTCCGCGGGCCGCTCTGTCCGGGTAGGGGGTTCCCCATGGGTGCCCCGAAATTCGAGCCCCGAAGGACTGGAGGCCTGGAGTCACCACAGAACAGGGGGTGTTTTTTTGTTGGGGGGGGGGGGATTTTTCCGTGCTCCCGACGGATGGGACACCTGGAAGCCCTGCCCCCCCCTCCACGGGCCCAGGGGGTGGCCGAAGCCGGCTCCAGGGGTTCCGGGCCCGCTTCCCTCAAGACCTGCGGCGTGCCCGTTCTGGTGAGGCGTCGGGCGGCGCATGGACCGCCCCCCCCTTCTTTCCCCAGGCAGGCAGTCCCGGCTGGCCTCTGCGGGCCCCCCCGAGCAGCGAGCAGCCCAGGAGGATCACAGCCGCCCAGCCCTGGGACGTGGAGCGCCCCAGGGGTGCCGCTGGAGGCGGGGCCAGGGTGTTGAGACCGCCCTGGACTGCGGGGGGGGGCCTGCTGAGTCCAGCAGGGACTGCCCAGCCGAGAAGCCGCGGACCCGGCGCTCGCGCAGGTCGGTCAGGCAGAGCTTGGCCGACAGAGAGATCAAGCACAGAGGGTCGGCCCCGACCCTCTCTGCCCCAGCCCCTTATGGAGCCCTCGGCAAGATCGGACACCGATTCCTTTGGAGGTCTCCCTCCCCTCGCCAGCTCATTTCGCCCCCCCCCCCCCCCCCCCCCTCCTCCCTCGCCCCGCCACCTCGTCCGAAGGCCCTCCTCCCCCCTCGCCCCGCCACCTTGGTGCGCCCCGCCAGCTCGCTTCGCCCCCCCTCGCCCCGCCACCTCGTCCGAATGCTCCTCCCCCCCCTCGCCCCGCCTTCTTGGTGCGCGCCGCCAGTCCCCGAGTCCGGCGCCCCTGCCTGCCGCGCCCCGGGCCTCGGGAAAGTCTACGAGGTGTGCTGCTGTTTCTGCGCCGCGTTCGGCGTCTCGGGCAGCGGGGAGGGCCAAGCCTCCCCCCTCGAGCGCGTGGTAACGGGGGGTGACCGTCATGGGGGTGGAGGAAGGGCCCCAGAGGCGCTTCGTAGAGACCCTTATTGGAGCCAAAAGGGGTCCAAAAGGGGCTCCAAAGGGCCTCTGTAGGGCCCTTTTCTTTACCCCAAACTTAGGTCACCCCCCAGTGCCACCCGCCCATCCCCCGGATAACAGTCGACCCACATAGTAAGGATGGGCAACCTTCCCAAGGGTACCCTTGCATCCTTGCCTCCTCGGTCCATCCTTGGCCACTTTGACTGGCCGCGCCCCGCTCGAGAAGCTTCGAATTTGCCCTCCAAGGCTCTTGCATCCTTATTGCACATCCTCATGATACGGGCCGACTGTCCCAGCCTGGAACGTATCCCTATCCCCACGATGGGCATCGCCTCAGATCGAGTTTCTGAGGGCGCATCCCTAAGATTGGCATCGCCTTTGAACTTGTCCATCTCGGAGACAGGGAGGAGCTCGAGGCTGGCTGCCGGGGGCAGATCGGCCCTGTCGGCTCACCCTCCGAACCTGGAGGCCCCGCCCCTGCCCGCGACAACGGCGAGTATGGGCGGACTTGGAGAGGCTGCCACCGTTGCAGAGGGCGCCGGCGACGCCGCCGCCGACGACGCCGACGCCGACGCCGGCGACGGCGACGACGACGACGCCGACGGCGACGACGACGACGGCGACGACGCAGAGGTTGCGGCACGCAGAGGCACGAAGAGGTTGCCTGCGGCACGCCGACGGCGTACAGCAGGCCTCGCGAAGGTATGGCCTGCTCGTGGCGGGCATGCCGCATGCTGGCAGCTACGCGCGTGTCACTCGTGCCCCACTGATGGAGAGTGCGCCCTACCTGCACAGCGCAAGGGCTGGGAGCGGGCCTCCTAGGACCCCTCATCTTGGGTTGTGCCGCTTTGGCTGCGCCCGGAGGCAATTTCGTGACCGTTCCTGAGGGCTTCGTCGGGCTCGTCACTTCTTTCGGCAAGTATTCGCACATGTTGCCCCCTGGCCGCCACCGATTCAATATAGTGTCGGAGAAGGTCGCCGTGGTGAACATGAAGAGCGTATGTCTCGATATACCACCTCAGCGCATGATGTCAAAGGACAACATGGAAATGAAGCCAGACGCGGTGTGTTTCTACAACGTGTTTGATCCGCAGAAGGCGATCTTCGCCGTCCAGGATTACGCTGATGCCCTGAACCACCTGGCAACGGTGACCATGCGCACAGTGGCGAGCGAGACCTCTCTTGCCGAGATGTTCAGCGAGAGGCCTCGGATCAACCGGCGGATTGCTCAGCTCATCGGCGATGCCTCCGAGAGGTGGGGCATCAGGGTGCACAGCTTCCACCTCAGGGGCATCGAGGTCAGCGAGAGGATGCAGCGCGCGCTGGCCGCGAGGGCAGAGGTCATCGGGAGAGGGACGCCAAATGTGTCCGTGGCTCGGTCGGGCCTTCTGCTTCACGGTGGGTTGTGTTCGGTCGGCTCGGTTCGGCCGGCCGATCGCGTCGTCGCTGCGCCGCTGCGGCCTTCCGGGCCGCTCGCGGCTCGTCGGTCTCGGTCGGCTTCGGATTCTTCGGTCGCTCGAGCCAGGCGCTCTCCGCCCGGCTTTGGGCCCAGGGGCCCTGACGGATCTGCTCCGGCAGTCGGACAGCAGGGCGCCCCGCCGGACGCAGCGGTGCAGACAAATGGCGTCCTGGGCCCCGGCCGGGGGCCCCCAGACGGGGTGGTGACCACACCGTGCGGTGAGTCGGTGGGGATTCGGGGTCACTGCACGGTTTTGGGACTCGGGTCGTTTTCCGAGGATGTCTCGGGCGACAGGGGGCCCCGGGGTCCCAAGACCGTGCGGTGACGAACCGTGCGGTGAGGCCTTGGGGGACTTCGAGGTCACCGCACGGTCTGTCACCGCACCGTTTCGGGGCTCCAAACCTGGTCGTGATTTTTCGCGACGTTGCCTCTCTCTCTCGAGCCGTCGGATCTCGCGGGAGGCGGGCGCGCCCTCTCCCCAGGCGGGCCTGGAGGCCCAGGCGGTCTTCGTCGCGGCGTGCGCGCGGGGCAGCGCCGCCTCCATCCTGTCGGAGGCGGCGGAGAGGACGCGGGCGAGCAAGCCAGTGATCGGCGTCACCCCACCGCGCTAGCACTACGTGTGCGTCGCCCCCCCCCCCCCCGGGCGACGCTCGCACCGAGAGATCTCGCAGTACACGGGCGCTCCATAGCGGGCGGGCGTTTTCTGGCCCTGCCGCTCGGGCAACGATCCATTACAGGATGGTGGTGCTGATATCGGGGGCGGAAAAGAGGGGGGTGATGAATAGGGGGGGGAATCTCATGGCGGGGGCCATGATATCTCCCCAGATTTCATGGCGCCTCTTCTTACTTCATCACGTCCCTGGCCCCCCCGCTGGGCTGCGCACATGCCGCCAGTCATGATTTGCAGCCCACCCTCTTGGACACCCCCCTCTTGGCCGCTCCCGATGATACAATCAGCCCGACTTTCCAATGTTACCCTGGCATCCTTCCCCTTCGGCCCATCCCTGGCCGCTTTCGCTGGCCGCTCGCAAAGTGTCAACGCGAGGCTCTTGCATCCTCATCGTGCGTCCTTCCCTGAGATCCGACGTAGCGAACACGCGG